TTAATGTAAAATCGAAAACATGGAATAGCAAAATATATGTAGTTGGGATTATTTCATGATGTTAAAAGCGGCAATTTGATTTTGTAAAACTTTGGAAGAAGTTCCAAATAAGCAGTAAATGCAACAGTTCCAGTCCTGTACGGGAAGAAAAAGTCAGAGCCATCACGAGGCTTTTGTGGGACACTTGATCAGGTCTAAATGTGTGCTGCTGCTTTTCTCCAGAGCTGCTATAAAGAGAATCCCGAGAGCTTTGAATGTAGACCTCTGTCTGAGTGACAGTCGCACCGACCAATCACAGAGCGCATTCTCGTGCCACATTAACATTCAATCCACTTGCCGGTGGTCCTTCAATTATTCATCCATGCGCGTTACATCATTTTTGTTCGGCAGCAGAGTCTTGTTTTAGAATACCTCTTTAGGATATTAATAGATCCAGATGTATATCGCTCAGGCTGAGAGATGTGCTGCACTCAGAGAAGATCTCGCTGCCGGGGAGCATCTGTTAATTGCCAAATGGACTTTATAACATAGCTCCATAATTTATGAGCATTTATGAGTATTATATTGCTTAACCTGTCATAAAACCCCAACACAAACATAGCGGATGACCTTTTCATGTAAATCAGTAAATATTTGTCATTCATTTACAATCTCTTTGCTCTAACCATGCCAGTTTCAAGATTTGTTATGAGATTTGCATTATATGTCAAGTCCGGGTCCCACTTGTGTAAAATGAATGGCCATTGGCTTTGACTGTGTGATATTAAACCGTAAATAAGTGTATTCTTGGCATTGGTGGGGGTTGTCATCAGTAGTGTTTGAACATAAATATGTAAATTGATTATGTTCTGCCTCGCCGGTCTGTCACACTAGTTCTCTCGTGTGGGGAGCTTTTGTAGAGCCGACTAATCAGCTGTGTTCAAGGGATCCAGTTAAAACCGAGTCCCCGGGGCCTTGATTTTCCCTGTGGCCATCAGCCCGACATCACAGGGGGCAAAAAGATACTCAATGCTATATGCGCGGGAAGAAGGGTAGGGGGTAGATAGCACTGAAGCATCACAAAGACGCAACAATAGGAATAGAGAAAATGGCTTTCAGATACTCAGCCATCCATATGTCGGAAGAGGAGGAAAGTTCCTATATGTCCATAGAGTGCCATTAGTATCATAGATGCAGGGTATGGCCGGACAGCACCACTTTACATGGGTTATATATAAGACGTATTTCATAACCACTTTTAAAGCTGCGGCCGCGGTAGGTTTTAAAGTATGTTTGTATGTTTGAACTGTTCATGACATTGCTACTGAACATTACTCTTTTTTGATAAAGTTGCAGTTTTACCAAGGTCAGGGTTAAAATGGAATGCTTATTGGTGTTTGGAAATAACATTGTCATAAAGTTTGTTTTGATAAGATTTGGTTTTGATCAGGTTTTTGAGATATGAAAACAAAACTCCAAGTATTTCTTTCAGTTAATGAATGTAATATTTTAACTTTTTTTAAATGCATATCAACATTACAGTAAATATGATTCACAGTTTTAAAAAAAATTAAGAAGGTTCTGAATAAAATGAAATTAATCCAAAGCTCAATTTGATTAATAGTTTCAACCCTACTTTATACACAATGAAGAGACAGACTTTAACAATTCCATTTTATATATGGTCTATGAAAGGTTGTATTTTGAGAAATGATTCTGAGCCCTCTACTGTGTATACATATGGCTTTGTAGTGAACAGAGCAGTGCAGGGAACACCTAATTGTGCGAGTCTATAAAGGGAGATGAAAGTCTTCAGAGACCTATGCAGTCTTTATGAATTTCAAACATTCACTTTGATTATTGCTATTATTCTCTTTACATAAGAAGACTTAAACTCTCCGCAGTCGAGTACATAACAGGTGAGCAGAAGAGAGATTGACAGTATAGAAAGTCTTCAGCACGTCCCTGTTGCTTCTGCCTGATTCAGGAACTCTGCAAACGATGCTATTTTAAACACATTCGGGTCCCTAGGTGCACGATGTAACTAGTTAACGGCAAAGGCATCCATATTTATGCACTGCAGTAGAGTTTTAGCCTGAGAAGAGCCAAGCACGAGCCTGTATGACTGTGGTGTGAATGCCCATGTGTTTGTGGTGGATGAGGAGTTATATAAGCAACTTGAGTATGTGTGAAAAGTATGCGCTGACTCCCTGGAGATAGTCATAACTTCTTGGTTGGGGGGGAGAGCATGTGGGTGTGACATGTTTCTTATTTTGGGGGTGATGGGCAGTTTCTAGGGTGGCCTCTGTTTCTCGCGTCTCTCTCCAGCCTAGAAGTGGAGTGCATTTACCCCCCTCCGCTGGCCCTCGGTCAGGTAACAAACTCAGGATAGTATCACAGGACGGTGAACCCCAAAGTGCCCGCCTGCCTCCGTGTGTGTGCCCGCCATAGGCCCTCACCCGTCCCTGTCATCTATCCGAAAGCCTCTTCTATGTCTCACTGTGTTTGCCTATACGCTGCACCCCTCCCTCGTCATCACCATCACTACCCCCCAACACCATGTATATGCTCTATGTTTCTGGAGCCGTTGCTATGCCAACAGCCCACTTTCTGTGCCTTGGCTGTGGGAGACTGAACTCGAGTCCACTCTGCCCCCCACTGGTCACTGTAGAACACTGCAGGTTTTAGAGGACACGTTCAAACCTCCAGGGGCCAGACAGAAAAGGCACTGGCACCAAAACACAGCAGTTGTAGTGTTACCATCTGCTGCTGATATTGATATGACTTCAACTAATTCAATAGAAATCCATGTATGATCCAGAGGAAGCAGATATGTTTAAGACTGCTGTGATAAACAGCTGGGGGCAGTGCAGAAGACCACCTCCTTTGGTGATACTCTCACCTGAGAATGCACTGGCACCGGAGCAAAGCATGTCCAACAATGAATAATGGAAAGGTCTCCTGGTGATATTTGGGAGAAGGAGGAGGTGCCCTCTTCAGACACACCGTCTCCTGCTCTTGGTTTGTGCCCACTTATTAGTCTAGTCTTTGCCAGGTATCTTCTGCTCCCTACTATCTCTCTGCCTGCAGTGCACCAAAAAACAGACCCCTGAAAATGTAATTACCTCCCCTGGCAACTAATACCACTAACACCAATTGATGAATATTCCTCCATTCTCCACACTATGAACATCCCTCCTTCCCCCAGACTCGCTCTGGTTCTTATGCCGCTTTCAGTGATTGTCTGTTTGCTTGTCCTTTTGCTTGCATTTTCTGTCTGTCTATTTGTCAGTACATCTGATCCAGTTCTGTCCTCGTCTCCTGCAAAAACACACATTGTGACATTCAACACCAGTCCTCATACAAATTCGTACATCCAACAAAGCCTAAAAGACACATAGAGTATTGCTGGCCAGACAGACAGACATGTTTTTCCCCGTCCGAGGCATTGCCTTCACTCTGTGAGTGACGACTACTTGCATATGCTCGATATGCACACGTAGCCAATGCCACTATGCTTCGGCCCTTGTATCCCGGCCCCCACTTTTAGAGTGTTGCTAAATATGGTTGGACAATCTGGTTATAGGGTTATGACTTTTTCATAGTTAGCTGCATTTTGACTTCAGCCTTCTTTTGTAACACTCTAAATGTGACTCCTATGTTCCTACTATTAGTCTTTTTGTTCAGACTAATTTCTGTGGTGTATCTTGTGGTTATATATTCCATCTTCCATTTGTTGGAGCTGTCCACATTAAGACCAGTTGTTATGTTCTCTTTTGGAGGTCGATGGTACTTACTGTCTATTTTCTGTTCTCCTCTGCGCTCTCTCTCTCTCCTCAGCATGTAGCCCCCTCTTTCCCATGATGTAGTGTGCATAGCTCTTTATTTTGGCTCTTCTTCTTTGATGTTTATCTGACTGACCAAAACTAAGCCTCTCTTGTGTTTCCAGGCTTTCCTTCCTTCGTTCTCTATCTTTTCTCGCAGCTGGCTTTCTCTCTAACGTGGTGGTGTTTTTTCGTAACGACCTCACTCTTTCTTTGGTTTCTGCTCATGCTGTTAATGCTGCAATCTCTTCTAATACAGACTGATGTTAAAGCTTTCTTCCTCTCCTCACTTGGTTTGTTTCTCTCTCTCTCTTCTGTATGTATGCAACTCAAGCATCCCTTTCTTTTTCGACGTGTCTTATTGTCTTCTCTCGGCTCATTTGTGCCTGAAGCTGTCTCTCAGTGTCCGGCCTGGCCTCTCCGTGTGCCATGGCCAGTCATGTATGGAGTGTTTCCAAAGTGCCACTGAATCGCTATGCTTTTCTCACACTTTCTTCAAGCTCACATAATCTCTTTCTTATCTCACTCGGTTTGCTATTTCTTGTTGTTCATTTCTTTGTTTTTGTGACTCTTCCTTTTTTGTTTTTCAAAATGTATGAACATAGAGGTATCTTGTCCCAAATATCCTTATGTGAAAGAACTCAAGTATTAACATTTGTAACAGCTCTTGTGTTGATTTCTGAATTAACATTTTCTGTCCTTAAAACTGACCAAAAACACAACGCACCCATTTTTATGTCACCTGTTGTGTCCTGTGTCTATGTCCTATATGTTGCTATATGTTTGTCTTTTGTCTACAAATATTGTCATGTCCCTATACATGTCATTTTATATGTACACTCAAAAACGGGTCGGTATTTTATCTCCTCAAATGTTTTGTTTTTGGCTGGTGTATTATTGGACAAATGCCACTGCACAAAACACCAATAGATATCCCAGATTCCCAGATTTGTCACTCTGAACTCCCCACATCAATTGCTTTCAGAACTGCCATCTGCGGAAATGGCCGGTTTAGCTGGTTTTGTGATAGTTAGAATCCACTTTGGAACAACATCTATCCAGACCTAAACTTGGACTAAGCGGCTAGGCAGTGTACGCAACTCCCTCCACTCTCTCTATCCCTGAATCTCTGGAGGCTAATGTGGTTTGTTGTATTTATTTTTTCTCCAGTTGGTCAACCGTTGTTTTTGCTTGCAGGGGCAACAAGCCAGCTAACAGCCCCAAAGGCCAGCCCCCTGATGCCGATGGTCACTCCTCTGTGTCAGACTTGGCCAACTCTCTCACTGGAGACATGGTGATGGTAAGGCTGCTCTCTAAAATGATACGACAATCAGCGTTTTTGCTAATCTTCTGTTAATTCGATCCATAATTTCACTCCGAAAACAGCTTGATTTCAATTTTATTCTTTCTTTAGCACGTTCAAAAAAAAACCTCACCTCTGAGATTGTAACAGTTTTTTGTTAGTTTGAAGAAGAACGAGATACACTTTTGGATATTGTTGTTTTAAGGTTTTATTTTGTATAAATACATTATTAGTAGGTGCAAGATACCCCACTTTTCTCACTATTCTAACTGCCTTTTTGTCATTTCTGTATAGAATTTAAACATGTTTTCCCTGCTTTTCCCCAAATCCATGCAAAGTATAAACAGGAATCAATAATCGAATTTGCAGCTATGACATATTATACATGACAGAAACATACATTCATACATACTAATAAATATTACCCTTTTTCACTGACAAAGCTCAAAAAGCAGCGAGAAGAAGTCAAACTTATAAGTGCCCACCACATCATCACACCAGTGCTGATAAATAAGTGAGTAAAGGGCTGCACGGTTATTCACGGTGCAGAAACAAAATTGCAATCGTTATGGCCGTTAGCAAATGGCAAAGTCTGCAATCATTGAGATAACATAATTCCCTTTACAAACAGGAAGTCAGCTTGTTGCATATTGTATAAATCTGGCTATTCCTGTGTTTCGAGCTCTAAAGCAAACTTAGAAATAAGAGGATCGGTACAAATGTCATCGTGTGGTCTGGTCATTTGGATTCTATGAATGTTTTATCTGCTGATAGGATTTTAAGTGATAATTTGCTTGTCCTTTAATTTCCAACAGTGACTACACAGAAATACAACTTTCCAAAACAAAACAACATAGATTTGAATTTTTCATGAGCTCTTTGAACATTATCCTGGCTTCATAACAAACAGCGCAAACCAATTCATGAGCTCGATGGCTGTCTGAAAAAGTTGTGTATAATTATATAATGATACATGTTTATTTCAGACTCAAGGTCCATATAAAAGACAACACAAAAACACCACAAGACACAGACGAATACAAAAAATGACACTAATGACTGAGATATAGCGTGTTGCATTGATAACTGTATAGTCCTATAATGATAGAAAGGACCTACAGTAGCACTCTATGTAGCCACAGCTGTCCTGGGTCAACGGTCTGGCAGCCAAACTTTGCGTACCATATTTTCTGCCTCTCTTTGATACATCATATCTCCAAACCAATATGGTCACAGCCACAAAATAGACAGGTTAAAGCAGGATTTTAAAACGTGCTCATCGCTTGTTCAATTTGGTTTCCCCCATAAAAATGCAGCCTGCTCGTTGTCAGTTAAGCGACTTTTAATGCACCATTTGCTCCTTTACAAGAAAAAAAGCCAAAGAAAATGTAATCTTATTATAGCTTTTGTCCTTGGGGTGCCAGATATGTAGTTTGCTTGCGTCTAATTAAAAATTCACTGGCTGAGGAGGACTAAATGTCAACATATGATTTCTGTTTTTAATTCTAAAGCCATTTTTAGAGTAACAGTCCGCTGCCCACTAAGTAAGTTACAGCAGCCAAACATCAGATGTGTTGTAAAGATAAAGACGGCTGTTTGAGTGGAATCACTGGAGGCGGGGGGTGAATTATGAATATTATGCAACGGGATCATTAGCATATCTATCTCTCTCCTCTAATTAGATATTGTTTGTGATGTTGTGTGGTACAATATTGTGTTTTGTAACAAGTTGGCACATCTAAAAAGCATGATAGGTTTATGTGTTTATGTGACATCGCAACTTTCCAAGGAATCTAGAGTTTAAAACAGGGTAGGTGTTCATAAGATTTTTTTTTTTCTTCATCCTACTCCTGTTCTATTTTCATGGAATGTTTAACGGTTGTAATTGAGGGATTGTTGCGGTATTTTATTACATTACCATGAAAAAATGTGGCAAAAAAAAAGGGACTAAATGTGTGTTGGGAGCAGGTTATACAGTAAATCTCTGCTGGTATCTATGGTAAGGGTCAAAAGTCAGATGTTTTGTCCTAGTTTTGTCATGTCATTTAATGAAGGCAACAGAGAGGAGTCCAGTGGGGGAAAAAAGTAGCACAAATACCTAACACAGAAACAGGTGAGACAAAAACATTGAACTGACAACACTGGGTTTAAATACTCAGAGGAAGACACAGGCCAAGCACAAAGAGGCTGTAAAAAAAGACCCTGTACAGCAGATATTACAAGATAAAGTGTAAAATCAATAAAGGTCCACACCATGACACGTTTTAGCTGCTTTCTCTGCCATTTCTGGGCCAAACATGAAACAAACCGTCTCAAAGTTCCACATTTGTCGGCTTTGTCAGCACATAACTGCTACTATGGTCTAATCGTTCTCTCAGAATGGGTTTTAGAAGTGGTGACAAAACATGAATGATACTGTCCGTAGAAAGGGATTTTAGACATAAGAATAATATGGCAGGTTTGTGAAAATAATAACTATCAATAACTGATCTAACTTGTTTTCTTGCTTCTTGTGTTTATGTAGTTGTATTGGCACCTGCCCTTCAAACTTAAAAAGAATTCAACAAGACACAAACGCAACTGAAAATGTTTTTAAGCAGAGCAGAGATCGTTATAATTCCACTTATCGTTCTATACTTCCATCTATAAATAGCTCGACTGACGCTGAGTCATGTGTCACACAAATGCCAAAGTGATTTACAGCTGTGCATGGGTTACAACTTAGCCATAATCAAAAAAAAGACTTCAGGCTTTTCCGACCGAGCAATCAAGCGAGACAGGCCTCCAAGGTGACTCGCTGTTGGGTACATTCAATTTGGGGATATTTCACACTTGCTCTTCCTGTCACGTTTTAAAATCCATATTGCTACTCGCTTGAGTGAGTGAGTCTATTTCACTTTGTCAAAAAACGGGCCAAACCGAAAAGTCTCACAGATTTTAGAAAACTCTTGTATTGTTGAGGCAGAGAGGCTGTCAACCTTAATACGCACTTGTTTAGTGTGTTGCCGGCAAATGATAGAGTTTTACAAAGATTATTATTATTAGGGGAACTCTTGCTGTTACACCTGGAATCTAGTTTTCGCTTAATATATTAGGCATAAACCAAATAGATATAAAAGAGGACATTTAAAGACACTAAACAGTTGCAAAATACATAGAGTGACAACATTAAAGGAGCAATATGAAAGAAGTCATCATTAAATTGCCCTAATATCTCAAAAGGCATTCATAAATCATGTTCTTTTCGAATACAACTGATAACAGTAGTTCAGCGGAGATATTTGGATTTCAAAATTAGTTTTACAGCCCCTAATTCTTGTTATTGTTTTCATTTCATTGTCCCGCCCTCCACCATTTTACCAATCAGAAATTCTGTAATCCCGGTTGCCAGAACTCACCGCGTCGAGCTAATCTCACTGGTAAAGTAACATGTGGTTGCAGAACTAAAAAAGGTCTTGTTATGACACTAACTCGTTCTCAAATCCTTAATGACAAAACAAGGAATAAAAAGAGAATTTCCATGTTTGTGAAATCTCTTTATTCAGATATTATGGTCCCAGCTGGATTTGTCTGCATATCTGGCAACCTGAGTCAGGGAGAGTGCAGCACCACTTTTGGCCAGATTTTTACATACTGCTCCTTTAAATAAACCATATACACACAAGGAGAAGGGTGCAGGGAGAGAGGCTCTGGTCCTTCTGCTACATGGTGTTAGCAGAGGATCCAGAGAGAGCCAGCAGTCAGAGCCTCCTTTCTATTAGTATCTGTGATGTCATACAACTCAAGTCAAGAGGTAGTTCAATTCACATACAGAGGGATGTGACCCCCGGGAGATATAGAGCAGATAACATGAGCCTTCTTGGAAAACTACAAAGCAACAGTTACTTACAAAGAATAATGAGGAATTATAGTTTAAAATTTATTTGAAGGGACCATGCACAGCAATAATAAGTACAGACAGGCTAGAGAGAATTATAGAGCAATATCTAGCGTTATCTGTCCCTGTGTATTGACTTTTTACACTTCTGCAGCTTTGGGCATTATGAAAAACATTCATATACCAGGAATTTACCGAGAGGGTATCGTACATGACATCCCTCCCTAGATAGTATGTTGCACTGCAAATGACCAAAGTATAAGGCAGTATTTGTTTCTTGTGTTGTATCTTTCTTCTATAAAAAGAACAAAGTAAATGCTATCCTTCAGCTCTCCTCTGCCCGCTACCCTGCTGCCCTGCATCAGATAGTGGCCTTTTTAGTGCCCAGCAGTGATAAAGTGCTTGTGAGGGAGACTCTAAAGCTCCCTTATCTCTAATCTGTGAGCTCCAGCCTATTTAGAACATTAGCAAAGAAATTAAACTCTCTCAGTCTTCTTAATGTCATACCAATCGCTTTAAGCAAGGGGCTTGTTTACGGTGTGACAAAAATGCTGAAAATCCTCGCCAAGGTCTTGACGAGTGCAGTGCCCTTGGTTCAAACCTTTTAAATTTGTATGCGTGTGTGTGTGCGTGCGCGTGTGTGTGTGTGTGTGTGTGCGCGCGTGTGTGTACTTTAGTTCTCATTTGAGTGCTTTTGCAGTTGTCTCCAGGTTCGGAGGACGATGATGGAGAGGGGCCAATCAGTGAGAAGCTGGGCCGTATCCAGTTTAGTATCGGCTACAGTTTCCAGAACACTACCCTCACTGTCAAAGTACTCAAGGGACAGGACCTTCCTGCCAAGGATTTCTCGGGCACCTCCGACCCCTTTGTCAAAATCTACCTACTGCCAGACAAAAAGCACAAACTGGAGACCAAGATCAAGAGGAAGAACTTAAACCCACACTGGAATGAAACTTTCCTTTTTGAAGGTTAGTGCAGCCGAGCAGATGGAAATGCAAAGTCATGCATAGAAATTCTAGTTAAAAAGATCATATACTATTTCAACCTTAAATTATACCTCACACCCTTTATTTACCCAACCATTTCAAACACACAACTCTTGTGTTATGGAGTAAAAGGACCAGATCCAGCACTTTATGTGCTCAATCTTGTCAAGCATGACATTCAATAAACAGCAGAAAGACTGGCTGGAATTTCTGTGAGACTTTTTCTTTCAGACTTTTTCTTTCAGTCTTGTGTCTGAAAGAGGCCACAGAGACACTGACAATCCTGTGCATGTTTGCTCATATAGAACTGCTCTTTGCACATTTTCCCATCTATTGCACAGAAGAAAACTTATATCTATATCTACCTATTTGCACACCCTGAGTGATTTTATTGAAGCCAAATGTAACTTGTACATTTCTACATTGTGAGATCAATAAAGTTTTATCGTATCTTAGCTGTAAGCACTCTGGCGAGTAATGGATATTAATCTGCTAATGTTAAGACAGACAATTGAAGTGTCATTATAATTTCCCATAGACCTCAATGATAAGCCATGTCTCACAAACACAATGATTGACAGGCCTATTCATATTGATAATCAGCCCAGAAAACAGAAGCATGTTTACATAGACAGTATAGCAAGTCCTTAATAAATGCAGCTACAAACCAGAAGCCAAGTATCAGGGCCCTGTGCGATTTTACAGTGCTTCGTTATGACCATTGTGCTCCATGACAGCGCTGCAAGAAGTCCAAACCGTTTCCAAAATGGCTCAAACGGCTGCCAGCATTAGAACAATAAACCATGCACTTGATAAATGAAGTGCATTGGATTTGTGACACCGGCACAAAGTTTGAGAAAACGCTCCTGGCCTCATTTATCAATGTACCGGCTCTTTTAATATGTCAAAAGTTGCTTCAAATCAAACCGACTTGTTCATCTGTTCAATGTTTACAAAATGGTGTGTTGTTCCATTTTATTCTCGCTGTAGGCTTCCCTTACGAGAAGGTCAGGGAGCGGACTCTGTACCTGCAGGTGTTGGACTATGATCGCTTCAGTCGAAATGACCCGATCGGAGAGGTGTCCATTCCCCTCAACAAGGTGGAGCTGGGTCAGATGAAGACCTTCTGGAAGGAGCTGAAGCCCTGCAGTGATGGCAGCGTAAGCGGATCTAAAACTGTTGCATTCACACTCTTGTCTACTCGAGTACATGTATAGAAACGAATCAAGTCTGCATATGACATTTACACTGTTTAGCTAAAACTCCAAATGTATTTAGTAGCAGAAATACACCATAAGAACACTATCTATACATCGCCCTGGCTTCACAAAAATGTCTGGCTATTTATATTCACTTTAAGCTCATTAGTAAAAGCATATATGTGACATTAGAGAGGAAAGGCTTACTATTTGTCCACATCCTGATCTATTTCATCCATCCATCCATCCATTTTCTTCCCCTTAATCCATTTCTGGGTGGGGGGGGTGGCAATCAGAGCTGCACCCAGTACACATAGCACCAGCCCCTCACTGATCCTCCTGCAGGTGGTGAGTCCACAGGAGCTGAGATCTTTCAGCGGGGGCTTCAGGCAAAGTGGAGTTAAGTGTCTTGCCCAAGGACACAACGACAGCAGTCACCAGTGGAAGTCATGAAGTAGGTCTTACGGTGGGCTCGAACCCACGACCTTCAGGCTCAAAGGCCAATGCTCTACCAACTGAGCCGCTATCACCTGATCTACTGTATTTCAATGCCACTCAAATGTATAAAGTAGCAGAATTACTACATAAGGACACTACTGTATCTATATCGACTTGGCTTCACACAAATGTCTAGCAAGTTTATTTCTTTTTTTCATTTCTTTCTTTTCTAGAGCTCTGGTGTGTATCTTCTCAGTCTGGTGCACATTGGAGGAGTCTTGCACACTTTTTCCAATGTGGCTTTACTACAAACAGCCAATACATTCTTGAATCTTGAATTAATTTGCATAACATAAAGGTGACATTACAGAGGAAATCCCAATCTATTGTAGTACCATAACAATAAAGTTTCACCCCTTCTTGAGCAGATTCTTTCAAATGTACTGCCAACAAACACAACAAGAGGAACGAAACTTTTTGACAGGTTTTTGAAACAGGTTTTTTTCAAATGAACTTCTATCATTCATTTCAGGGCTCCACCTTTTGTCTTTCAAAAATCGGGCACCTAAAGGGTTAACTTGATAAGCTATAGTAGTTAATATAGCTAATATATGTACTGTAGATATATAGCAGTAAACAAAGGTATTTTTTATTATTTTACTTAATGCTGTTACTATTTTAATCCATGACACATTGATGCATATTGGTGAGCACTCGCACTTCTATCACCTGATCATGTATTGTGACTTTAATCAATTTTGGGTTGGGAAACAAAAGAAAATGTGCGTTATTGTTGATAAAAAACAAAATATCTGATTCAGAACCGTACATCTGGAGCATGCTTAAATTGAGAGTTTGAAGTCTGTCTCTGATATTGCATCACAACACAACAAAGAGAAATAGTCCCGGGCAGTTTGTTTTCCATCTGTCATTCTTTTGTGACATCTCTGGATTACATATCGGATCCTTTGTGAATCCCTCTCAACTTGTTTTAATTAAAGCTTTGGTATACATATCTTTCAAACCGCCCCAAAAGGTTGTATTCAACTCTCAAAACTGTTGATTATGCATGTATTTTTTCTGTCATATCTATCAATGAGCTTTTTCAGACAGTAAAGTGCAAAAAGGAGGCCCAACGTGTTGAATAGTGACTTGCAGGGCTATTCCTGAAAAAATATGTATAGTTGATAAGGCTCTTTATGCTGGGCAGACACAAAGGTACAGTATATTAATCACATTTTGTGGTTTTGCAAAAGTGATGAGAAAACTGGTTTCTCGTGCACGTCCTACAGAGCTAAACTTGTCACATTTAACAAGGAAATTAACCCAAAATTCAGGGCAACTTAAAAAGGACTTGAAAATAAACAAAATCCAGAGTGAGAGTACTTAAAAACAAAACATTACCCCTAACTAAACAGGGAATCAAGTGGACTAAAAGAGATGCGCCAATGACACTGATGGAATGGGTGGTGAGGGCTCTGTGATACACATGAGGGCAAGTTCCATAACAAATTACAAAATAAAATTGGAAATTAAACTTGACCAGGAAAACAATTTCCCACACTATTTTACTTTGCACTTGCAGTTTAGCAGCTGGATTGGTCAATAATCCCCAATATGTATGTATTTTGTATTGCAGGGTATCCCACCTATATTAGTGAGTTACCCCCTATTTTTTCCAGTCTCCAATCACAACTACAATATTATGCAATCCGATTTGTTCAGCACATTTTATATGTACAGGATACCAAAGTGCTGCACAGAAACAAAAGCAACAAATGGATGTATAGTACACGTCTGCCAGCTTTATGTATTTTCAAAAATAAGATAAATAAACCATTAAAATAAAATAAAAAACTATTCAAATCAATACGATCATTACAATACCAATTATAAAATAGGTAAAAAAAGTAAAAATATAAACCAAATAAAAAAATACATACAAAAACTTAAAATACCTGCAACAAGGTAGGTTTTATGACGGTGAGGGGGTCTGGCCAGAGAGAAGGCCCTGTCCCCGCGTTTTTTTAAACTTTGTCTTAGGAACCACGAGCTAGCCTCTTTAACAATACTAAAAACAGGAACTGGGTTTTTTTTAGCATGATGGTGTGCAATGAGCTCAGTGTGGCCATCTGCATTTACCCGGAGAGTGGAAAGGACAGGCTCATGACGAACAGCGAGCTGCATATCCCCTGATGATGTCTGTGACGGCATGAATCACATTGTGCGTTTGTGTGTGTCTGTGTGTGTATCTCCCAGGGCAGACGAGGAGACCTGCTCTTGTCGCTTTGCTATAACCCCACTGCCAACACCATCACTGTGAACATCATCAAAGCGCGCAATCTCAAAGCCATGGACATCGGGGGCACCTCAGGTATACTCAAACTCGCTTAGCCTTTCTCTGCCTAACTGCCTTCTGACACGGGTCCTCGCGGCTTCACACTTGACATAACCGTGCGTTCAAAACATTGTTGCCCTGTTGTTGGTGAAAAGGACAAAAGCGATCGGGCTCCCGGGCTATAAGCAGAGAGTGGAGGTGACATCACATCAGCGCGCAGCCAACCCTGAGTCGACCTCGTTTGTTTTTTTGGGGTTTTTTGCCTTTTTTTTGTATATCTATGAGGATCTGCAGCCTCTCCGGAGCCAAAGTACTGTCAGCTCAGTCTGGCTCTACTTGTGAGAAAGTAACAGGTCTCGCAGCGATAGGCTTAACTGAGGAGAGAAGAAAGTGTCTGTTAGCATTACAGAATATGATCATGTTTCAGAACAAATCCATGCCCTGATTTCCATTAATATCTGCTCGTTTGTATTTTTCCCTGCACTGGGAGATCTTGACCTTGAGCTGGGAGTAGGTATCTGCCTCCTGCTGCCTTTAGTGACTTTCACAATTAGGAGGATAATTACAAACCTGACCCCAGCCTTCACCTTTCGGGGGCTTGTCTCCTCAGCAGCCATGTAAACTGCTGTTTGCTGCGAGATCTCTCTATGTACTTCAACACTGCCTGTTCTTTCACACTGAGCTTGCCTGTCAAAACCACTCCTTTTGCCCGGGCATGCAGGAGAATATGTTGGTGGGTTTGGTTGCTAAGTGCAGTCCCTGATGTGGCCATAAAAGATATTTATTCAACCTTCTGCAGCTAAGATTGCATCAAATTACCATCAGAAAAACATTCTCTGTTGCCAATTTTTTTTTTTTTTTTTTCAGGGAATAGACAGTAGCCCTGAAATGTATTGTACCAGGCATTATTTATTGAAGGGAAAGTGGATTTGGAAGTGTGACAAGTTTAATTGAATATTCATATGGACGGCAAAAAGCTTTGTCAGAAGTTTTTCCTCTAATTGGGGAAGTTGCAGTCGCAGCAGTTTTGGGCTTCTGGATTTTGACTTCAATTATGCAATAGTGACATAGAATCACAATAAGGCATCGAAAATACATCTTGAGGTTAATGAAATTCCTACAATGATTTTAATAATATGTGGGTTGGCACAGCGGTTACATTCTCCCCATGTCATGTCAAAATTTCTCTCCCATTAAAACACACAATAGGTCTAAATTGAATGTGTGATTGAACGGATTGTCACGGTCGGAGCATCCAGATTGAAAGATAACATCCTTTCAATGTTGCAGTGCACATGCAGGACAGTGAAAGCACACAGGGAGCACACAAAATATACAATATAAGTAAATGCTGTTTCTTAACTAGCTGTAAATGTTTCAATCTCAATATATCAATATAGTATATCTCTTTCTATATACTGTATATAGTGCTGAGTTATATACATAGAGGGCAGGATGACATTCAGTGGACATTCTGAAGTTGCAGTTTTGCGAATTGCACATGATTGCAGTATTGACTATTTATAGATGAGTGACATGTTCAGGCTCAGCAGTTCTCATTGTACAGTCTGACAGCAGCAGGAAGGAAAGACCTACGAAACTTCTCCTTCACACAGCAAGGGTGAATACGTCTGTCACTGAAGCTACTCTCCAGAGCAGACAGTGTCCTGCAGGGGGTGACAGTCATGGTCCAGCATAGATGTTAGCATAGATGTTAGCACTGCATCTCTCTTCTGTCATCACGGTTTGTGGAGTGAATTCAAACTACACAAAAAAAATGATTTGCTAAATAAAGATGACTCATTTACTTAATATATTGTCATTACAAGACTTTAAAACATGTAACCCTTTTGTCTGTGGTGTGTGTAGATCCTTATGTGAAGTTATGGCTCATGCAGAAGGACAAGAGGATAGAGAAGAGGAAGACGGTGACAATGAAACGCTGTCTGAATCCCATCTTTAACGAGTCATTTCCATTCGACGTTCCCGCCCACGTGCTCCGGGAGACCACCATCATCATCACCGTCATGGACAAGGACAGGCTGAGCCGCAACGATGTCATCGGCAAGGTAACGGCGAAGGCAAAACGCAGGAATGTACGGCCGGTGCAGAGCCCTCGTGGCGACCGGTTCTCACACCTGGTGCACACTGGGGTAGTAGTCTTGCACGGTTTTTCCAATGGGGTTTTACTGTAAATGCCAAATACATTCTTAAATCTTGAATCTGTGTCGTCTCCAGATTTACCTATCGTGGAAGAGCGGCCCTGGGGAGGTGAAGCATTGGAAGGACATGCTCGCTCGGCCACGTACCAACGTAGCCCAATGGCACGCTCTCAAGGCCTGATCGCACTACCCCAGCTTACCCCAGATGCCCTCCGCCTCCTCCCCCCCCCCAAACTCTCGCTCCCTTCCTTATGCACAAGACTGACTTGCTGCCAGGCTGCGAAACACGGGTACAATTAGCCATCTGCTCTCTTTAAACCTTTAAACTCTCTCTTAGTTCGGGTTTATCCTCTCTCCGTTCCTCTCCTCATTTTGCCATGTTTACATCCAACGGTCCCCCTGTTTCTCGCTGTCTGTATGTCTGTCTGTTCTCTGCACGTGGAAAAAAACTCATTTCTGCACCACCTCTTCACAAAAAATAAAAATCACCAAAAATGAATTCAAGCTGAGATACCTAACTTGCAAACCAGAAAGAAAACTGGGACTATGTAATGCAATCCATGTCCAATCCAATGAATTCAATTTATTTTAGTATTGCTCTAAATCACAAAGGCTTTACAAAGTTGTCAATTCGCCGACAACCCATGAGAGAAGCAAACCGTTCAAACACGGGAAATGTCATGTAAATAGTTCCTGGCTCTAAAACAGTATCACTAGTTTTCACATTCATGTACTTTTGACCTCACATCATAGCTTTTTCAGACAGAAAAGTGAAACAGAGAAAACCATCGTCACTCCTTCAATCATCTCCCAGTCCAAAGCGTCAAATTGTGACTCACAGGGCTTTTTCTCCCAAGTATGCAAAACACAACACGTTTTCCAATGAGATGAAGACGACATGCTGTGGTCTGATTTGTTCACAAAATGTTAATTTTCTGGGAGTCTTTCTTATGGGACAAACTAAATGTTATGTACCCCAGCTTTAATACATTGGGTTGATTAAGAATTGTCCCTATACATTCATCACAGCATTCAGTCTGTGCAACTTGCCCTGATGCCCTGCCCTATAATGCTTAAATACCGTCATATTTAGGCTTTTTCTGGCTTTGTACCTGTTGTCTCCCATTGTCAAGTCTCCCTTTAGTCATTTTGTCTCATGTTCGGCTGAAGTCCTCCAAAACAATCAATAGTTTGTATCAAAACCAGCTGAACTCAAATCATCCAACACTTCACACTTTCTCCATGTCTCTCTTTCCTCCTTTTTTTTCTCTTATTACTCCCCTTTTCTCTTCCTCTGGCACAATATTACCGACGCTCCTTTTTTTCTGAGCTCATGCCCGTCGTCTGTGTGCTGTGGGTGCTGTGCTGTAGCTCCAAACAAAAATAGAGATTATTTACGAATAAAAGAAATAAATAACTGAACTGAACTTTCCGACGTCGGGAAAGACTTTTACAGATTTTCTCCTGATTCTGTTCCCAACAAAATAGCCTTGACCGGAGAGAGAAAACAGAAGATTTATTGACAAAAACACACACGAATCGACAATGATGCTATGATGTCATTCGCAGCAGGAGCGACAACTGAAGCAAATCTTCCGACAATATCGACACGAAATACAGGTGCCATTTTGCGCATTTCAAAGTGTGTTTCCAATGATGATCAATGATTTCTGCTCTGTAGTGTCGAGAGCATGTGTGTGCGTGTGTTTGTGTGTATGTGTGTGGGTGTGTGCGTTTGGGCCATGCAACCTGCGCGGAAATCTTCTCTTTTCTCTTTCTCATCTTGTGCTCTTCTTACTGCCATCGTTCCCCGTTCCTCCTTGGCGCTTGCAGGGGGAGACCTGTCTGCACTTTTTGACAAATGTAATAACAATAATAATTCTGATGTTGTGTAGAGGATTTTAAAGGGAGAAGTGAGAGGGTGAGAGAGGAACACGCTATGGTCTGGTCTGTGGGTTTTTGATGCTTTTGGAGGATGTGGACGGGGCTCCCATCCTCCTCATGTGTGCAGATGTTATATAACGCGTTAGTAAAGTCTTTATAACCGCAAGGATAGATGTGACTATGTCTGCCTCAATGCTGTTTGTAGAATTTAGCTGGAGAAAGAAGCCATCGCTGTTTGTGTATAATTTATGTATAAGCCTTTTTTGGGAGCGTTTCAGCTTGAATTTCTTAGTCATTTGATGAGACTGCAGTTTTTTGTTTTGTTTACCAAAGTGAATGCCTTTATCAGGTCAATCAGTGGCTTATGAATGAGTGATACTTGAATATTTTATCTAAGGCTATGGTTTAGGAGCCTGCTAGTTTCATTTAGACAAATAAATGAAAGGGCAGCAGAGAAAATACACTGATTTGTGAATACCTCTTTAAAACCAATAATACATATGATTTTAGAAAACATATGAAAATCAATATTATCAGTTCAAACGTTTGGACACTTGATCTGTCGTCGGAAATAATGCCAATGGACACACATTTAACACCAGAACTCTCAGAGCAGTCGATTTTTACGGCTTTATAGATATTCTGGGAGTCCGAGCGTTAATGACATTTCTATCAAATACAGTGTTATTACATAATCATTAACCTAAGTGGCTTCCATTCATTCAGAGCGGTCCTAAAGCCATCATCGGTTTTCCCACTTTCCATAACTCGTATTTAAAACCTTCATGTTTGTGCAGTAAAATTACATGGTCATTTTTACATTTGAAATCTTGTTGTTGCTTAGAGATCGATTAGTGTATTAGAAAGATAGATTAGTTCATTTATTTTAGATTCTGAGAGGTTGAATATGGGATTTTTTCATTCATTTGACCAAAGTACAAGTGATGCCCCTGGAGAATACCTTCATAGAGATTGCTTAAACATGTAAGTCTATGTAAAATACTAAAATATTTCAGTAATTGATTAAGAGAGGCTGATTTGAACATAAACTAGCTGGAGCCAATTTCCTTATGCATGTTGCTAAGATGGTTGCTAAGGAAGGTTTGAAGGCATCTTGATTGGTCAATGAATTATCTAGATTTGCGAAGACAAACGGTTATCAAGTCAAGAGGAGCCAGAGCGAGTGGGATCAAAACTTTGTACATGAGCACTTCCCATTATTGAGCTCGTGGGTTAGCATTGTCCATATATATACACTCTACGGCTTAGAGCTTGATTTACTCCCTTATCAACCTTCAACATAACTTTTCTCATGAGAACTGCCACCGGCTTGTTGCTATGGAAATCCTTTCTCAGTTTGTAATACCATGAATTTCTATGGGCAAAAGCAAACTGAAATACGTTTTTAAATCTGCTGGCATATTGATCTCTCGGTGCACATTTTAGTCCGGGACGGAAAAACTGTGGTTGCCAGTATTGTCTCTCTAATCTCTGGCAGGTTAGTCTTGTGAAACCCGGGTCCTGGAGGTGCACCTGGACACCGTTAGCTCACGTGGGGACACTGTTGGACGCTTTGATGCACTGATCCAGTCCAGCGCCTTTCAGAACAATCAGCCAGTGGTGGAACAGGGCCCAGTGTTTTGACAGCTCCTGCTTGAAGTGTCACAGCACATTACGCTCCCATTAGGTGGTCAGAAAGGAGCAATTTCTTCCTGCTCAGACCTCCACGACTGTCTCTTTGGCAGAGCTCGGACTGACTAAAGATCGTCCCAAAGGTCTCGCCCTTGTCTCTTGTTTGCGATCGCAGGTATGATGGGTAGATTCAGACAGCTGGTCGAAAAACAAAAAAAACTCTACTTGCAGGTTTGACTAACTGCTAAACATTCTTGAGATACTGTACGTTTCATACCGCATAATTCATTCAAATATGTTTCTAAATGGATGATCTAAAAACGGTCCTAGGCCAAGAGGCATCCACAATACAACCCTCCAAATTATCTATATATAACATCCAATACATTCAGTATATCTGGATTTTCTAGCCAGCCTTCCCGATATTTTTATGCTACTTATCCGTTTTTGGAAATGAACGTAATAATGTGATTTCTTCCATTCATAATGCTGTTTACAGTTAATTCAATCCAATTCGATGTATTTTTGTATATTCCTAAACAGCAATCATCTCAAAGGACTTTACAAAGTTGTCGATTGACCACCACGAATCACAGAATCAAACACAGGAAATGCAATAATAATCATTGGTCCATAGGGGGCGAACCACCAATCTCCATAAATCTTAATACATGTCCGAGAAAGTCCTTAAATGTACCGGATCATTACCCCTGTCCTCAAACCCTCCCGCGTCGGCAAGGAACAACTCAAAAACTCAGTGGGAAAAAGTGAGAAAGAGGGAGGCTATAGATCCAGGACTCAGGCTGTAGAACGAGGACCGAGGCCATGTGTTGCGAGACTGAGGCGGCTCCCCCAGTCAGAAAAGCACTCATAATGCATCAAGTCATGACATTTATCACTACTATTCTGAAAGTTTCTCCCTCATAAACTCAACTCAAGCCCCAAACCTTATGTTCAGTCATTGCCAACAGTCGAATAAATGGCGAGACCAAAGCCAAACAGTATAAAGAAGAAAGCAATTTCCAAATCCCCCTTTTATTATGCTGCCACCCTTAAACTTATTGCATTTCGTTGGCATCGGCCCTGTCGTCTCTGACCTTCAAAGTGTCTTGCGCAGTCGGTTTTAGATTGGCTCAGCTTATTATCATTTTTTTAATTCTCACAAGACTTAAATCATAAGTTCAGTGACAGAGCTAAGTGAGTGGTGAAGGTGCTAATAATGACTGTCTGTCAATTTGCCAGAACTGCTGCTGAATTAAAGCTTTCAAGATGTCTTCTTACAGTTCGTTTTTTGAGAGTAAGGTCCTCTTTATTCTTCTGTGGCCTATTATTTGGTCAAGATTCTGTGTTTTGATGCTTATATTGGCTGTTTTTTATTGCTCTACATTTACCACACAAACACTCAATCGCTCATTTATTCTTGTTTTTAAACTGGGGGAAAGAGGACAGGAGCGCTGGTGTGTGCTCTCTTCTCTGTCTGGCGCACATGGGGAAGTCTTGCACAGTTGTTGTGGTTTTACTGCAAATGGCAAATATATTCTTGAATCTTGAATCTTGAAAGTGGATTGGTTAAGTTTGCAAACCAGTCTCTGCTGCTCCATTCTAGTACAAGGTTTTTCTGTGGTCTCCCATCTGAATATTTTCCTGGCTCTAACCTGGATAGCT